AGAGAGAGATCCTCAAACATACAAGTATAACACACAGTGAAATGTAGCGCTCATGAAGACTGCTTTGCTGCACTGTGGTATGAGGTGCTAACCTGTTAAGTGTTGGGAAGGTTATTTTAAAATGTATTCCACCACAGATTAAGAAGTAATGTATCTGAATACTTTACAACTACATGAATGTACTATTGCTGTGTGATTTATTACTATTACTGAAGGTACTCTCCAACACCAACTAGATGTTTAAATCTTAATATAAATGAGTAACAGTAGGTGGACATTAGGTAATGCTGCACTTTCTGCAGCGAAAACAGGTCGGCGGCTCCGAACCGTAGTAAAGGGACCTCTGGCTGATACGTTGGGTTTACTGTCTGGGTCAACTTTGCTAGCGAGAGACAGAGAGAGGCATTGAAAGGCTCCAACTGAGCTTATTGTTTCGGAGGAAAACACAAACGCAGCGTACAGTCGAGTCTTAACAGCTTACTTACAGCTGGGCTCGTCAGGCTGCAGTGGTTATTATTATATTTACATGCTTCCAGCTCCCGTTTCTGTCGGTGACAGCTCGTACTTTTCCTTTTTCTCCCTCCTCGCTCACAGACACATCACGGGTATGCAGTCCATTCTCCCTGCAGCACGGACTACAGCTGCCCATCAGGCTACATGTATTAGGGCTATGCCTGTAACACTCTGCCTTTGCCTTATATTAAATAATTTTTGTATGATAATTTTTAAAAAATATTTCTTCACTCACTCACCGTAAGTAGAGGTGACATGGGCCGCGAGATAGAGAGACAGGCATTAGAGCGCTCTTATTGTGTGTTTTGTTTGGGTTTCCACCAGCGTGGAATCACCAAAAATAGAGAGACCATAGCCTAACATATGAAACAGGAAAATACCGCCATGTAATCCATTTATTTCAACAACATGATTCAAACCAGAACAGTAACTGTAACGGATACATTTACCATATTTTGTATTTTAAATACGTTACGCAGGTGCATTTAGATCAGCGGTCTCCAACCTTTTTTGCGCCACGGACCGGTTTATGCCCGACAATATTTTCACGGACCGGCCTTTAAGGTGTCGCGGATAAATACAACAAAATAAAACCAGTACCGGTACCGAAAAAAAGAAATTTATTCATAACACACGTGAAAAGACCAAGGAAACAGAGTTAACGATACAAAACATAACAAAATAACGCTGAAAACCGATAAAAACCCTGAAAACTACAATTTCACACCTGAGCCTCAACTCTCGCGGCCCGGTACCAAACGACTCACGGACCGGTACCGGTCCGAGGCCCAGGGGTTGGGGACCGCTGTATTACGTTACTCCCCAACCCTGCCTGTTGATGAGATCTTGTGCCGTTCCTAAAACACCGGCCTCCAACTCCTAAAGAGACACGGGTGTCCCTAAATTTAGCAAATATTAGCTTCAGGCTAGCTTGCTACGACGAATAGGCTAATACCAGCATTTTACCACAACTTCACCAGATGTTGCTAAAAAGCTAAACTAATGTCCAGTCCAGGGGGACAGCAAGGAAAGATGACAAAAAATGATTACTTACCTAGAGTAAGTTTAGAGAGTCCACCTGAACTTGATGCAGCCATTGAAAGAGGCAAAAGATAAGGTTGCAATTAGTCGGAGGAGCTCATATACAAAGGTTGGTAACGGTGCCCTCGAGCGTTAAGTGACTGACAATTCTACAATCACCAGTTCACACCACTGTACTTAAATACTAATCATTCCTTTGTCTCCAAGGCGAGTCCCTCTTCTTCTCTCCAGGCTTTATGAACAATAACGGTCGGAGATGTCGATCAGTGGTATGTGCACAAAGTTTGAATCAGATATTAATACATCAAAATTGTTGCAGGGGACTACTTGTTATCACTGCTATAGAAAACTTTTATTGAAATCTCTAAAACAAAATCCGCACAAACAAAAATGTTTGACATCAATTTTTTTTGATTTAAGGAAGGTGCGATTGCAACTTCACTCACATGGATGACCGAGAAAATGGACTATTCAATGCACACACACCCTCACACACGCACACAGAGACACCCACATACACCCACATACACCCTCACACATGCACACATGCATACAGAGACACCCACACACACCCACATACACCCTCACACATGCACACATGCATACAGAGACACCCACACACACCCACACACACCCTCACACATGCACACATGCATACAGAGACACCCACACACACCCACATACACCCACACACACACGCACACCCACACACATGCATACAGAGACACCCACACACACCCTCACACATGCACACACATAAGTAAACACGTGTGTGTGTGAACTCAAAACGTCAAAAAGCAAAGCAAACATGTCTGCATCGGTACATGGATGTGAATTTATCAGAGCCACACTTAAGTGCAATAAATCATGTAAAAGGCCCAAATAGCTGCACTTAAATAACAGCTAAATAAAACCCAGACGCTCCTCTCGGTGCTTATTATTTTAAATTTCATGTGAGTTTGGCAACGGCGAGAAACTTGGTGTCGTAGTACCCTGGACGTCCACTATGGGGCGCTAACGGTCTCATTTTTCCCCATTCGGCAGGTGTCCGTGCTTTTACTTTGAAAGTCGCAACAGGAAGTGCGCGTTTCATTGTTAGAGCGTGTTGACTGTGGTCCTGCTGCCGCTCAGCCTCCTCCCGTCGTCGCCATGGTGCAGATGATGGAGTCGCAGTGCGAGTATTTCATGTATTTCCCGGCGGTGCCGATCACGGACCTGTCCGACCCGGCCCGGTACCGCACGCTGCCCCGCAGGAGCCACCTGTACCTGGGCGAGACCGTCCGCTTCCTGCTGGTGCTGCGCTGCAGGGAAGCCGGAGCGACGCCGACCGAGCACGGCCCGGGTACGTGAGGGAGGGCCGAGGAGAGATGAGTGTACGAGCCTGTGATAGTCATACAGACGTGAACACGAAACCATGAAAACACGGAGACAGAGCGCAGTGTGTGGTGTGGGAGCAGCTGTCACAGAAACCTGCTGAGGCTCCTCCTGTAACGTTAGGATGTTTTCGTGACGTGTCCCGCAGGTGTGCACAGGATATCCTCGTTATGCCGTCTTACATACGTCACGTGTATTTATATGCATGAGTCACGTTAGTCAGGAACAAACAACAAAGCCTCAGCAGTAACGGCTGCACACAAAGGAGGCCGCACACTCACGGTTAAGCCTTTGTTGACCCACAGACACGCCCTCTGAATATCTGCATTTATGGAGGTCATACCTGCACCACCCAGAAACCTCCACCTGACTGTTATGGCCGCGCAGTTTAGGTCAAAGCACGCTCAACGTCTGCGGTAACAGAGCACGAGAAACGAACACATCCAGACAAATGCATTAATAAAACCTGCGCTTGGCCAACAGTAGATACGAGCTTCAAATGAAACCATGTAGGTGCAGAGCGGGACTCACATACAATGAACCAGAGTTAAACTGCTGAGATGATCCGGCCGGGGGCCTCGTACTGATCCAGGACCAGAACATCGCTCAGTACTCAGCAAACTGGAGCTGAGACGGTAAAATCCCAGCAGCCATGACGGATCAACGCAGGGCTGAAATGCTACTGTACAAAAAGCAACTTCAGTTACTGGGAAACGAAGGAGCAAAGAGATGCAGTAAAACACATTTAAATAGAATAAAATACCGTATGAAACAGGACCATACCTGCCGTAACACCTGCACAGATGGGCCACAAACATGAGCTACTGTAGGACCACAGCTCCACCTGCAGGGATAAAATGCCACAGCTCTAACACGGCTGCAGCACTGAAACAGGAAATGATGTGAAGGTTCAAAGAGTGAGCGCTGCCACTGAAACAAAGAACCGTTTGGGGAATTTGTTTTCGCTTAACTTTGTTAGTCATTTTCTCAGAAGTCTGAGTTACAGAGTCAAACTCTTCAGACTTTTGTACTTAAAAATGTTTCTTTGGGTGTAAAAAAGCTTCCTTAAGTCTGGAGCAGAGCTGTCTTTTCCAGCAGGGGGCGCTGATGGCACCGCGGCAGGTTTTGGGACGGAATCGGCCAGCAGCCGGGCGTGGAGGGAGCTGGCCGGATCTCTGTGCGCCGTGGCGAGCGTGAGTCCGGGTGAGAGCAGTCGTCACCGGGGCAACCACCATCAGCATCACCACGACTACCAGAGCAGCGGGGACGAGGCCAACGAGGACGGCGAAGAGGACTACATCGCGGCGGCCGAGGCCGCCATCGCTGCGCTGGGCAGCAGGGTGGACTCCCGGTGCCGGAGCTTCAGGGACTGCAAACCTCTGCTCATCCACAACTCCTCTGGGACGGCGTCGAGGGAGTTCCGCAGGGCGCCCGTCCAGGTAGACGCACACCTTTACCTGTCTTTGATACGGCGCTCCTCTCTCCAGCTGTTAGTTCAGTTCAGTTCATTTTTATTTCAAACATTTCAAACATGTGGCTTCACAATCATTACAAAATATCATTCCATTATTTGTTTGAAAAGGAGTAGGCTGAAGTATTTACTTATTTGTCCCTACCCCCTCAAGTTTTACCTCTCATTCATTTAATTTTTTTTTGTCTTAAATTAAACAAACAACATATGAAACATATGAAGTAAAACAAAACATAACATACATAAATCAAAAACAAGAAATTAGCAAGCCCCACCACAGTATAGTTTCTTTCATATGAAAAATACAGAATGTGTATATTTGCAGATACACAAGTTATGGAAAAACAA